GATTCTCTCTTACTTGATAATGAAGGAGAGAAGTGAAATAGCACTTGTGGTCTTTGAATTCGGAATACACGTATTCATATCCCTGTTCTCTTGGAAGAGGGTAGAGGAACTGAAATTAAAAAAAACGTTGAGTGGATATGCTGAGGACGGTACCTGACTGTTTCATGTGTTAAAACAACGTGTTATTTTTAAGTGAATTTCAACGAAAACAGTGCTTGAATGCTGTAACTCTCTATGACTCTGTAACAATAAAGGATAAATTCTACTCAACTGCCATGGGCAGGTGTAAAAAATCTAATTTGAATTCGCAAAAAAAGAGCCTAGATCCCAACCCTGTGATTAAAAAGATATAACTAACTTAATATTGAACTAACTACACCATTTGGCTTCAATAGTGATTTTGAAACTTCCTATTTTCCAAAACAAACAGGTAACAACTTTGCAATGAAAGAAAGCTCAAAAACTAAAACTGGAATTGCAAAAAAAAAACAAAAACAAAAACAAGTCAAGACAAAACAAGAGTACTCAAAAAGTGTCTACAACAATTTCTAATGCCAAAGTTTAAGTCTGAAGACATGATTGGCTCATGTTTGTAAATCACATTTGCCACACACAAATACAAAAAAGACAGACAGGGAGAGGGGGGTAGGAAGAGAAAATTGTTGTTTGAATTTTACAAACATAAGAAATTTTCCACAACAAGAAAACAACTGTCAACTGTGTTAAAAGTGATGTCTAAAAACTATTGGCATCCACTCACCAGTGGAAACTTGAGAAATCGCTCTTCCATCCTGTCATACACAGTGCTCTACAAAGGACAAAAAAAAGATGTACAAGTTTTGCCTGTGTTCTTTCAATATCCTGTGTGGGTTATTATGCCAGTAAACTGATAGAAAGGGTAGGCTATTGCTTAAGCATCACCCATCTCAGTTACAGATACAAAAAAAACACAAACAAAATGTTCATATTTGGCCAAACCTAAAATGCACTGATACCTCAATTAGAATCCTTGCAATTAGGTACAATATTATAATTTAAAAACCTTGACTTCAGATACATAGTCATCGTAAGGAACATTGTAATTATTATCAAAAAGCAAATTTTTCTGAGAAAATTTTCATTCTCACTCACTGGGATGATAGCACTGATGCAGTCCTTGTTCCTGTAATATTCCCTCCAGATCTGCAGACACATAAGTAGAATAAAATACCTTTTTATTAACTGAGTTCAAGGTCCATACTGTCCATACAAGCACAAAGCTTGCAGGACATAATTTGAAAGAAAAAAATTAGTTTCCATAACTTACAGTACTGATGGAAATACAAGGTTGGTAAGACAAGACAATCTTTGTTCAAGCCACTATTTACAACATTATGCAGTTTGCTGTCGTTGGTGTGTTTTAGAACACTGTCATTGGTGCAATTCAATCATCATTATTATTCCAACTACTAGATGTCCTTCCCTCATAGGTCAGCTTTCAAAGACTGATTGGTTGTTGTATGTTGTGACAATAGGGATCCTTGCTTTAGGAATTTCGATTCCACTGTCTCTATTTATTTCAGAACATCATAACTAGAAGGGAAAAAGGATCTTTTTCAAATTTATTGAAGTTCTCACCTGTCCAATCTCATCTGCACTTTTGTCCATAATCTTATCCAGATGCATAATGGAGTTCAATGTCTGCAAAATGAAGAACAGGAATAGCAATTGCTAATTAAAATATACTTGATCAAATCAGAAAAAATATTAATAATGAATTTTGACGTGTGTACAAGGCACAAACAGGTTGACACAAGCCAGTCCAGAAAAAGCCATCCCACCTTGCACTCACAAGGCTCTTTCACATTTTCTGAGATTGTGAATTGAATTTGTTGAATGAGAAAATGAGTCACCCTTCTTGAATAATTGTGAGTTGTTTGTTTTGACTCTAAGAAAAAAGGGAAAAGTTTTTAAGGTAACTGCAGAATGTTTTAAGTGGTTGTTGAGTGTACACTCTTCTTTTCAATACAAGTACATCCTATCGAGGTTGAAATAAAATTTTTGAAATGTTTCATACTTATTAGTAATCATGTCTAATAACATGGTCATTGACTGAGTTTGGTCAGGCCAAACTGAAGGCACCCCCCCCATTCAGTCAAGAAGCACATATTATTTGGAGGGTATAATAAACAAAAAGGGTTTAATTTATGACATTAACATGTTTTCTGTGGAAGACTTGGAAAAAACTTGCATACATTCAAACAAACTCTTCAATTATCATTTGAACCAAATCAAACCTTCTGTCCATATGTTGACATTTCTCCACTGGATGACAAGGGATTGCTTCCAAGAAGTGAGCTCTGTCAGGTCAAAATTAAACATTTCTGTTTATAAATAAATGATAAGAGTATATTATTTAAGTTAAAATAAAGATAGAACTTGAATACATTGTTTTTGCCTTTCTAGTCAGTAACTTTAATTTTCAACAATAACAGGTTGTTTGGTGTCTCTTTTGGTGTTATTTTTCATCAGGAATGGTTGCTTGAATGGGTCTCCACAATACTGTTTAATCCAAAACATCTAAGAGTCTTTTTCTTCTGCTGGCTTAACCTTCTACATTGATTTAGTATATTTACAGTATGTACACATCAAGTTGTTGTGTTTACCAGATTGCCAAAACATTGACACCTAGAAAACATTAACAATGAACAGTGATACCCAAAGGCTTTAATAAGCAATATGGGTCATATATATATGATAACAACCATCATGAATGATAGAAGTTATCCAAGCTTTCCTGTGAGAAAAGGATTACCACCGAAAAAGAATCCATGAATAATGGAAAGATGAATCACTGATTATGCATCTGCACGCACATTTCCGATAACTCCATTGAGTTTCATCATTCATGGACCATGCTCTTTAGGTGTCACAGAGGTTTCGATAAAACTGCCACTGCCTCTTACCACTGTCTGTTTACCCTGCAAGCAGGATTGTCTACTTGCGTTTAGACTTTTGGCACAGCTGCCTATCCCACACCATTAAGTGCCACTTGTAGAAAAATTCAGTAAAACCCCTCAAGATTTTTGTCATCAAGTATCTGTACTATATATCAGACTCTTAGCTTAACAATTCACCTCAGGCCTTATGTTGTATCATTGGGTAAGATAACATCAGTGACAGTGCTGTCACTAGTAGAGTATACCCAACTTTCATATAATTTATGCCAATTTATCACTCATAAGATTTAAACCAGTTACCTTTTTCTGGACTTTCTTCTTGAATCTTTCAGCTTCCTCTTTAGCTTTTGTGTCAACACGAAACTTCTCCTCCATGCTTTTGTCCTTTCTTTAAAAAAAGTATAAAGAGACTTTCAACCTTTACACCCTAACATCAGTATCCATATTCTCCTTATTATTCCCTACACATTTCTACTGGAACTGACACAGAGAAATCATTTAACAATCAAAGTTTCTTATGTGGGTGGTCACTTTCTTTATTTTCATGATCTTACTGAATGATTCAGCAGTATTACGTTAAGGAGAAAGTAGATGCTGGTCACTCTTTAGGTTTAAGGGTTAAAAATTGGGATGGTTAGTTTAAATACCGTCGAATGTACGACTGCTAGCATATTCTTACGTTCTGATTGGCTGTTTTTCTGGAAAGATTTCCCATAATATTCTAAAAAACTTCCTGAGCTCTAAAGGCAATCTCCTGTTTTCGCCATTGTTTTCTTTATCCAAGAACGGTATGCATGATATAGATATGGTGTAATTCAGAAATCTTACCCGTACAATTAGCAACTGCCCTGTTTTCTTACTCATTTTGCACAACAAAGTAAACATTACTACTTACATTCTGCCGTCTTTGATCTCATTCCTCACTTTCTTGATTCTTTCCGCGTATTTATCGTAAAAAGGATTAGATTCTATTTCATCACTTGTAGAAAAAACTCTTATTCTTGCAATAGTTCCAATCTGAGACCTGACACCTTGGAAACAAGGGGTTGCTTTCATGAGATTTCTTACACACGAACAAATACGAACGGTGGCAGCCATGTTGGATTTGTTGTCTATAATGTGGTGTAAAAATCATTAATTGTAACTATCACACTGTCAAACCCACACTTGCCTGGCTTAGAATCACCGACTGAAGAAGCTCTTGATTGATAAGCAAATTCTCCGGGTCAACACCTTAGGGAATGTTTGTAGAACAGTATGGAGAATATAAATACTGAAGTAGCACTATTTTTACCACCCACCTGGGGACAAGTTTTGGGGTATACTACCTTGAAGTGACCACACCTTACTTTCGTGAACGACGATAAAAAGGAAGAGAAAACACGTGCTTTTCAACTACGTTATCTTCATCTTTCATCAGATCGCGTTATGAGTGCAGTCCTCCTCACCAATCGGAACGGAATGAATGTCGCTGCAGAAACATTTCACAAGGACTTTAAAAGTCGAGTCTCCCCTCAGCCAAAAAGATTTTTTCCAAATCAAAAGAAGTTTTGTCTGATCCTCTACAAAGCCTCAAACGTTTTCTTAATTAACATACAGCACGATATTTCTTCCCAAGACAAAAAGAAATGACATGTCACTTTTCTGTCAACTGAAATCATTTGAATCATGGAGTTACCATTCAAGATAAAAATTCTTAATATTCAAGACTGAACAGCTTAAAAATTACCGATTAACGATAGTATGGACCCGCAAGTAGTCAAAACAAATCTTGACGGGCTGGACAGAAGTTGACCTTAATAACTTTTTTTTTCGGATGGAGGGAGGGAGTGGGGGAAGGGGTGGGGGAGGCGGGGGACCACGCCGCTTACAGTGAGACCATAATGGAAGTCAGCAGAACTGAGACGATGACGTATTAATATCTCATTGAGATATAAAGTCGTATTTTGCTAAATGTTCCCTCCCCCTCCTACTCTTGGTTCACAAAACGTTCTTGATCGGCCTCAGCATTGAGGACTTTACTTTTGTAATTTTTGGAAATACTTAGTGAACGAAGAATAATTCTTACCACACTCAGACGAGTTATTCAATGTGAAAAGTTTATTTAGGATGAGTCAGCCAGTCTTGTAGTATATGCATCCTATTTTGATCTTAACATGTATACGCTGAAAACTAAGGGCTCTACAAAAGAACCTGTGTTACGCCAGATACGAAAAACCACTAAAAAGCCACCCTTCAGAAGCGGCCAAAAAATATGTGGAAACGTATTCCTCATCTAATGCAGCAGCACAATACCTCGAGGAAAGGGTAAACTAATCAGGTTACACTGCTTATCACAAAGAAATATCAATATATGTAGTGATATTTTACAGGGATTAGGAGAACGAAAATTACATCAATACGAAAAAAAAAAAGAAAATGGTTAAACATAGTACTGACCTAGAATGACTTAATTTTCCCGCGAAACGATTAAATAATCCGAAACTTCCATGATGCTATGCGAACCTCTTCAACGTGCCATCAGAATATTAATTTCTGACTAATTCGTTCCCATGTCACTCAAACGTCAGAATTAACACTTCAATAGAGCTGAATTTTACGAATTCGTGAAAAATTCGCCTTTGCCGACCCCAGTAGTTAATTTTTACATGCATTTAGCGCCACATTTAACAGCATAATAGCGAAAAAAGGGAATTCAACGTAAGTGTAAGATGACATGTTCGTTTGTGAACATAAAAAATGAAATACACGATCTACGGATTTTAAAGTTACCATTGGGCGGATGGAACCAATCCTTATCGCTCTCAGGCCTCTCGCTTTAACTCTTCTTCCCCTTGGAGAGACTGCCATCTCATTTCTCTTTAAAGAATCTCATCTGAATAAAACATTAAGGTCACGAGAATGAAGGAAATGATTATCAACTAAAGAAGCTCTTGATTGTTCAACAAATTCTCCTTGTCAGCACGTTAGGAAATGTATAGAGAACGGTATAGTGAATATGCATGCTGATGTCAGGATGTAAAGGGTGTTAAGCAAGTCAATCACTGCTAGATCCATCGCCAACGGCCCCTTTCGATGATCCGCATTCTGGAGTAAAAATTTCGGAGAGGCGATGAATTCGCTTCTGAGCAGAAGCAAGTTGACGCTCAAAGCCATCATATTTTTCGATAAGTGCGCGCGCTTCGAGCGCTTTCTCCATTGCCATGGCAACATTCCCTTCTAAACGGAACTGATCGGACCGCAAAAGAACTAGATTAATTTTTGTCCCCACCGCCATGTTATCGGCATCTGGTCCGTCTTCAATAAAGTCAAGGTGCTTCTTAGCTTGTATAACATCGTCCTTGCTAACGAGCTTATCGCTTCCAAGTAATAACTTTGCCATCTTGACAATTATGTACTCCATATCGACAGGATCAGTTGCACAGTCCAGTGCTATTGTATATGAGTTGTAGGCTTCGTCCTTCAGGGAAATGCCGCAACGTCCCACAGCAAGCAGAGAGCTGATCAATCCCCCATAGCTTTGATGCAGCTCAGCTCTATCGACAGACGAGTCGTGGTACTTGAGAGCTGTTGTAGCCTGTTGCACGCATATCCACGCATTTCCGAATTTAGTTTGAGTTTTGTAGATCGATGTGAGAAGGTTCAAAGCTCGTGCTGTCAGAACTTCAGGGTTTTCCATTTGCTTCTCCAGGTCCAAGACTTCTTTTGCAATTTTCTTGGCTTCTTTAACATTGCCTTGCATGTACAGTGCAACTGCGCGCTCAATCTGCAAACTTGCTCGCAAATCTGTGTTTTTAGCAGACCTTTTAGCCAATTCTTTTTGTATCCGTTGCTCATGTCCTTCAAAATCTCCTTTATCTTGTAGATCCTTTAGCTCTGCTATGAGAAAGATATACCATGAAGAATTCAGACATCCTTGTTTTTTTACAACTGGCATTTCGAGCGGAAGAGAGTAAATGATTTTAATCTGATACCTTCTGTTCCTTATTGTTCCGATCTCTTGGTTCTTTGAGGCGGATTCCTCTTCTTCATCTGAGGAGCTATAAACATTCACAGAGTTCTGTCCTTTTGAACCTTTTCCTTCAGAGGCGATTTTAAGCAACTTTGTACCCGAAATCTTGATGCACAAAGTATCTTCTGCGAGTTTTTTAAACTCTACATTCATCACCTGATTGGCTGGTATTGTACTGCTTTGACAATTAACCAAACAGTTTCCGCCCATAGCTGTTTCTTCAGTCGACAGTTGGATTTCATCATCGTTCCCCAAGTCGTTGCTTTGAAGGCCTAATCGAGTTTGCTTTTCCATGCTGGAACTAGTAGTTATGTCTTTAACTTTCTGGACAGAACCATCTCTGAAACCTTTTACACTGGATCAGCCATTCTTTTTCATGTTGGCGCCTTTGGCGAAGATCTTTGAATAAACCATGCAAAACAAACAGCGATCACTCCTTTACTTAACTAAAAAGAATAAAAACACAATGGTCAATTTACTGTTTGGTTCGGACAGATACGCGAGATAACTTTTCGCAAACTTTCAATCCAACTGCATGAAACGAGACATTTCACACCGAAAAACTTGCATTACTTTTTATCGATGTACATTTATCTTTTAACCTCTTAGAGTGTGATAAGCATCTAATTTCTCCTTTCAACCCCAGAATCACACACATAAAGGTCACGAGAATAAAAAAAATTGATCACCAATTAACGAACTCAAGGTCGTGATTGTTAAAAAAATTTCCTTATAAGCTTTTTCAAGGAAATATGTAGAGAACAGTATGGAGAATATGCATATTGATGTTAGGGTGTAATGGGGTTAAGTTCTTTCTGAAAATAAGATAAACCTACGACAGGCAGGCAATCGGCGTGGGCTCTTGTTTACGCGGGTATCATGTTTTCATTAATAGTATACGAGGATAGACCGAGACAGAAGAAATGTCTTTATTTTCCGAATTCATTTATTTAACTTTGCACATAAAATTCCTAATTCATCATTTTATTTTAAATTCCTTTGATTACCGAAAAAAAAGTGTTCGAAACTTTTCGCGATCTGTTGTCGATTTTATTCCATCACCGCCAGTTACCTTAACGAGCAAGAAAGTCCACACGAAAATGTTCCAAAATTAGTCGGAAATTTTTACACCTACATCTAATCTTTGACATATTTTTGCGAAACCAGAAAATTCAGAGATAATTTAAGTTTTCTTCACCCTCGAGCGTGAAAGAGCCCATTGCTTTTACCTTAACTTCACATTAAATTTATCTGGGAATTTCGTTGCCCCAGAGTTAGTGAATCATCTCATAACAAACCGGAAGTTGTGAAAAAGTGAAAAATTTTATTCTACTTGGTATGAGCCTCACGGTCTTTAAAAATTTAACTCCGTTTACCAGCCAACGTCAGGAATAGCCGTATATGAAACATATTTCAAGGTTGAAACCGGAAAAATGATAAAGATCACGTTACAGCGAATATTTCGACCGCAACCGATATGATATTATTTTCTTAAAAGGGACAAAAAAGTGGTTAAATCGACGCTACAACCAAAATTTAAATCGGATTCGATTCCTTTGGGAAAACACTAACGAAACTCACCGATATGATTCCCTTCTTCCTCCTCATTCAGTCGTAATCAAAATTTTGAAAAACGATTTTCCCTTTCGCTTTGATGCCGTTTCTGCAAAAGATAAGGGCTTGAGCCATTGCATTTTTGATCAGCGGACCCACTCGTTCGTGGCATGAGCTTTGTTTTTACTTGCTCTAGATACGATGAAAGTCCTATATATTTTGCTAAAGGCCTTATAGCATGATTATTTTCACTCTTCATGTTAAGATATCTAAGTTTTTGTTCAGACTTCTTGCCACAAGACTAAAAAATTAAATTAACCAAGTGTGTTTACCCACGCGACTTTGCGCGCTTGTTTAGTGATATCGGCCATCCTCTCCTCCCAAAGGGAAGAGAGGATGGCCAACAGTAAGGGCCAACTAACGAAATGCCAGGGGTTAACCATTCCGCTCAGGGTAAATAGCGATACTCCTAGCTGCTTACTCCTATGGAAAGTCGGACGAGGTCTAGTCATGACTGAAATATGCTACTTGTCAGGCCAACCTTGGGAAATCAGAACCATATCAAGATAAAAGAAACAGTTTATATTCTCTTGAACCATATAGAAAATCTTTTACGATAGTTTAAAGGTGACCTGACATCATGTGCGTCATCGGTCTTTAAAAATTTAACTCCGTTTACCAGTCAACGTTAGGAATAGCCGTATATGAAACATATTTCAAGGTTGAAGCCGGATAAATGATAAAGATCACCTTACAGCGAATATTTTCGACTGCAACCGATATATTATTTTCTTAAAAGGGACAAAAAATGGATTAAATCGACGCTGCACCTAAAATTTAAATCGGATACGATTCCTTTGGGAAAAAATAACGAAACTCACCGATATGATTCCCTTCATCCTCCTCATTCATTCAAAAAAATATTTCTTTCTGACAAGGAGAGTTGTTTAACAATCAAGAGCTTCCCTAGTTGGTGATCATTTCATACATTCTCGTGACTTTTATATTTGAATCAGGAGTGATATCATAAAGAGAGATTAGATGCTTGTCACTCTTGGGGATAAATGGCTCAAAATGATGGCTGGGTTTGCCAAAACATAATAACACACTCAAATAAGAATATGGAAGAGTTTATTATAGAGCTAACTAAGACAAAACCGTAATATAAAAAAAACAACAACAAAAAACCTACTCACTATGTTAAATATTCAATCATTCCTTGTAAATAAAAGTAAAATAAAGATAAAGAGAGTTTCAAATATTATTGTATGATATTCTATATAGTTCTCTATCACTGCTTGGAAAAGAACTTTTCACTGTTTTTTGTATCTGGGACAATCTGAAAAAAAATTAAAGTATTGAAAATCATTAGCCATACAGTAGCTTGCAGATCTCATCTAATAACTGCAAAAAAACTGTACATACTTCAAAAGAGAAAAATGTTGGTAAGAACATCATAAAACCAAGGAAGTAAACATTTACACCTCTTAATTTAATTTAGTTTTGTCAAGGAAGTTGTTAACCCTTGACTCCCATGAGTGACCAAGACAGAATTTCTCCTTACAATATCAGTGCAGTATCAACCAGATAAGTGATGAGAATAGAAAAAATTATCAATTTGGGGATGATTCGTTGATCCAATACTAAATTCCTGCATCCCTTTACACCCTAACATCAGTATGCATATTCTCCATACTGTTCTCTATACATTTCCTGAGGCGCTAACAAGGAGAATTTGTTTAAAAATCAAGAGCTTTTTAAGTTGGTGATCATTTCCTTGATTCTTGTGACCTTAATGTTTGATTCAAGAGTGATGTTGTAAGGAGAAATTAGAAGCTGGTCACTCTTAGGGGTTAAAGGGTTATTTATTAAAGTGTTTAGTGACAGGAGCAACAATGAGTAATTTCTCCGTACAAGTCATTATTTAACCTGAAAGGAATACACAAACAAAGCCATACTTACAGTATCACCTCCAGGACGCCATCCAGCAGGACAAACTAAAAACACAAATGTGAAAACAAAATTATTTAGGAACACATGTCACAAGCACAATTACTAAGAACAATTACACCTAAAACTGTTCTGGTTAGTAATATCTTATTATTGCTTTACCATTTCTTTATTGAAACATGGTTACCATACCTATACCTTACATAAAATAGCTTTTATTTTCTTTCACTTCAACCCTTAACTCCTAGAAGTGATTAAAAAGTAACTTCTCACAACAATTTCCATACGTCAGTCAGCAAACAGGTAATAAGAATACTCAAACTTATCAGATAGATGTTACTAGATCTAGCACTAAATTCTTGTAATTAATTAACAAGGAAATGTGTTGCAGCTTGAGGGGATAATTAATAACCAGGATTCAGTTGTAGAAAGGGCGGACTAGGGATAATGCTATCCAATGGATAAATCGCTATGCAGCAGATAACTGATAGCAAAATGTATCACATTATCTAATGTTTAAAGATGTATCCAGAGGATAGTGTTATCCAACCTCTGAATAGCAGGGCCCAAGAGAAAAAAAACAAGATTCAAGGAAATGCCTTATACCTAGAGAGGAGAAGTAACAGTCAGATCTTGGGAGTTAAAGGGTTATGAAATCACTGTATGACAGCTCTAACCACAACAGGTGCTGTAGATTATATAAGATACAATAATTCTCTCCAATGGATAGATCACTATCCAGTAGATAAGTGTTAACAAAACGTACTGTGTTATTCATTGGATAGAGATTTATCCAGTGGATAGTGTTATCCATGCTTCAAATAGCCTGGGCCTGTAGATTATACATATTACAATAAGCAAAAAAAGGTGCTAGAAGGCAATGTCTTCCTCACCTTCTCCATGTTCGTCAGTAAACTTGAATGCTTGAACCAGTCGCAAGACTTCATCAACTGACCTCCCCACAGGTAAGTCATTCATTGTGATCTGCCTCAGGATCCCTTTGTCATCAATGATGAACAAACCCCTGTAACAGAAAAGACACAAATCTAGTTCCTCTAACTCTAAGTTATTAAGATTTGTGTGGTGGGATGGGAGAGTAACAGACCAAAGCCCTGTTTAAACTGTTCACAATTGTTGATGATGGTTTTAATTATCATTCACTACCATAGACTACCTTGTTTGCATTCAAAATGTTCATTGATAGTTGATGAAAACCATGTAATTTGACTCCCCCCTGAAATCCTCTTCCTGCCCCAGTGGGTAACAACAACCTTAACCCTTTAACTCCCATAGGTGATTAACATGTAACCAGGGTTTGAGCCAGGCCGCGCCATTGCGCCAATCCCGCAATAAAATTTAAAATGTCCCGTCCAAAAATGATTCAGGGGTCAATTTTTCCCCTAAAAAAGCGAGCGATTTTTGCGACATTTTACTGAAGTATTTGTGCCCAAAAAAAAGAATTGCAAGAGTTGAAATTCAACATAAATTCGACCATAAACGGCACAATTTTTCAATAAACAATTTGGTTTTAGCCGCAGAATTAATACGTTAACAGCAATTTTTGTGAAAGATAAGAGAAGCAAGATTTAGATGTTTGTTTTGTCTCATTTTGACAACATCGGAAACTGACCAATCAGAAGCAGTCATTCCCACGGCTTGTGTAAACATTGCAACACGATCTGACAGAACTCGGCTAAGTAAAGCGTTGTTTTTTTAAACTACAAAATTGTGATTCAAAATAAAAGACTTTTAGACTTATCCTGACTCTTCTTCTCCCAAAACCACTTTAGTAGTGTTTCATCCAATTCTGGATACTTTGACAAAATGTTAAAAATTGCGGCTTTTTCCCCCAAAATTGTTGTGAGAGAGGCTTCAGTGCCCAAAACAGGATTAAAAATGCATTGAGAAACAGACTAAAAGCCAACAGGTTAGATGTACTTATGACCATAGACATCGAGGGGCCACCTTCTGTGGACTTTGATTTTTCATAAGCCCTTGAAGAGTGGGCTATAGAGAACAGGAGAATTTTGAAATCGTGAAATACTGTTATTATAAATGTACTTGTAAGATGTTAATTAACTAAGAAGGATCTGCAATGAAATGTGGAAGCAAGAACAAATATGATATTGTTAAAATGATAATGGCACAACAGAGTTGTTGGTCTTGTTCTTTTACAAATAGTCACTTTCTTAATTATTTTAGTGGCCATGATCAGCTGCTGGTTGTAAGAGAATCATACAGTTAAGAGTTTACAGAGAAAGATAAAAAGAAGCATGCCACCTTAAAATGTAACTTGTTGCTATTTCATTAAATGTTTAAAATTTTAGTTCAGTTTGAAATTTTCCCTATGCTTAAGCGACCCTCAGAAATGGAAAATGTCCCTCCAAAAATAACCTAAAGGGACAAATTGACCCTAAATAGTCGAATCCTAGCTCAAACCCTGTGTAACTTCTCCCTATAATATCCGTACATCATCCAACAAACAGGTAATGAGAATACTCAAACTTATCAGGTAGAAGTTTTCACCTTGATCTAACACCAAATTCTTGCAACTAACTAAAAAGGAAATGTGTAGCAGCTATAGGGGAGAATTAACAATAAGATCTTAGGAGTTAAAGGAATTTATATTTGTTTACCTGAGTGCTACACCCTGATCTTCCAACAGAACACCATAGTCTTTTGAAATCTGCTTTGTTATATCAGAAAGAAGAGGGATCTGCATTTTCCCCAGTCCTCCTTTCTTGCGTGGTTGATTTGTCCTGAAGAAAGTGAAAAATAGATTGTCTCAATATTGCCGTCATCCACACCCTTTGACCCCAAAGAGTGACAAGCATCTGAGTTCTCTTTAAAATAATGCCTCTGAATCAAACATTAAAGTTAAGAGAATAACGTTAATGATCAACGACCTCATCAGCACCTTACAAAATGTATAGAGAACAGTATGGTGAATACGCATACTGACGTTAGAGTGACAGACAGCTAACATTCATAACATTTTTTCTAACATTTTGATTCTTGATTCTTTTGAGGCAATCAAAAATCTCCTGAAAAATGATTAAGACACTGGCTTGCTTTTCTGAAAACCTGGAGCTCACATCGAGCCACTAGATAATAACCACAACAAAATTAAGTGTTAAGTGTTTCATTGATTTTTTTTTCCCCCTATGGCTATTTATTTGTTTTTAATTTTTTCTTAAAGACCCTCCTGAAAACAGCTTTGAGTGTCTTGCTGCCTCCTCATTAAATATTATGTTTATTAAAATCTGTTTTCCCTTCTTCTTACTGATTCATGCAATTCTGCTTCGGCTAACCCTGAGAGTGACCAGCATCTAATTTCTCCTTAGAGAACTACTGCTGAATCTTTAAAAAAGTTCATAAAAATAAAGGAAATGATTTCCAACCTAAGAAGCTATGATTGTTGAACAAATTCTCCTTATCAGTACCAAAGGAAGTGTATGGAAAAGACTATGGAGGATACGGCTATGGATACCAGTATTAAGGTGTAGAGGATAAATTCTCTCCATATCAGTTACCCTCTTACCAAGCTAAATGTGAAAAGTGTGAATCCACAGAGCAAGCAATCACTGAACAGTTGATTGCTTCAAATTCCTGGACTCTGTCACTGAAAGCAATGATCTCTGTGGGACAAACAAATGTGCTGAAAATAAAAAGGAAAAAAAAATTAGAACAACTTACTTAGTTTACAAGTGTCTACAACATCATCAAAGGTCAAAGTATTTCTGTATGTTAACCCTTCAACTCCCAGAAGTGATTAACATGTACCTTCTCCCCAAAATATCCATACATTACCCACCAAACAGGTAAAGAGAATACTCAAACTTATTTCACAGAAGTTTTTATTGGGATCTAATACCAAATTCTTGTATCTAATTAACAAGAAAATGACTAGCAGCTAGTGGGGAGAATTAACAACCAGATCTTAAGAGTTTAAAGGTGTACTAATTAAGGGAATATGCTACGAGCTTTGTGCCTTTTCTATTTTGTTCTACACAATACAAAAAAAATTTCAGGGTTGTCTGCAAGTGAGAATTTGTTTAATGCTGTTTTGTATTGTATTGACTCTCACTGTATATCTTGTGTAAAAAATTATTTTTATCACTCCAAAAATTTTCTTTTCTGCTCATTTTCCCTTTTTTTTTGGCTACTTAAGCTACATGTATCTCTGCGACACTGCCACAAATTTTGGTCACCAAATGCTAACTTTGAAAAGTGTTCAGCTTGATTGATTGACAAATCAAGTCAGAAAGTCAGCAGTTTACTTTTCCTGACGTTTCAAAACCCAACATTTAAAATTACTACCATTAACACCTCATTAGCAGCTCTCACATTTAGCAAATGGAGTTAACCTTTTCACACCCATGATCTCATTAGCAATTCTCCTTAGTTCAGAGAATTTGGTACTAGATCAACAACTAATCGATCTCCTGATGAATTTTTGTGCCTAGTGCTTGTAGAGCCCAAGGCACCATGTTATTCTTTATTCTTATCACTTGCCTGCTTGTCAATGTATAGACATTGTATGGAGAAATTCTTTTTTAGTCATTTATGAGAGTGAAAGGCTTAATAAGAGTACAAAGGTTCTACACAAGTCATAACAAATAAGGAGAAAAAGAGCTTCAAAAGATGCATTTTAATCCAGTCCCAGAGGGAAAGTTAGCTTTTGAAATTTTCCAACCCTAAGGCAACATTACCCTTAGCTGTTCACAGCTGTTTATCAGCAGCACAAGCACACCTTAATTGATTGAGTTTTTTATTTCACACAAGCATTTTGTGGGTTCTTTAAATCCAAGACAATCTTTAGTAAAACATGATGGTAAAATTGTTTTGGGTGGAAAAAAAAAAGCTTTTTTTTTTCACCTAAGGCCATATAAACAGCTTTCAACCTGCTTTAGTATACATGTACACCTATAATAATTAACAACATGTCAAAACAGTAACCTTTCCAAGACAAACATTTGATGTATGCTTTGTACCTCTTTTGAGATGTTTGACTAATAAAATAAACAGTTCTGGCTAAATTTCATTAAAAGCAGAGAAAATGTTTGATGACAAATATTATTATGTAAATTTGAGAAAAAATTAATTGCTTTGTTGGCTGTCTTTTTTAAATTTTGTTCTCTTAATGCTATTATTAATCGCAAATATTAGACTGGTAGACTCTTTTTAGTAGCCTGATCTAAAATTGCAGTATAAAACTTTTCTCGCATGCTAATTGATAGACGTACATTCAAACAGGAAAAAAGACAACGACGGAAATTAACAATAATCAGTTTGACAAACTATTAGATATACGCTTTTCGCCAACGAGTACGATAGAAAGAGAAAGCTTTACACATGGAAGAAGTTCCGTATCTTAGCACGAAAAAGGTACAATTTTAAAAGAAGGAAATTTCTACGACTCACTGATTTAAGATCTGACGTAAACGGTCTGTGGTCCAATATTAAGATAAGTATTTATAACACACACTGTTTTTTTTTTTCCGAGGACATTATCTGGTGATTCGATGAGTTTCAATTTTAGAAAACTTGACAGTACTGTAGTATCGATCAAAGACGCCGTGAAATGAGTACAGCTATTAATCTTCTCGAGGTGCAAGGACCTCATGTCCTTGAAATTAATTGAAGACACGAATGCATAGAGATCGAATCAGAAATCGAGGTCAGCTGTACAAACCTGGCCTCAACTCGATTCACGTCAATTTTCAATCGTCTCAACGGAAAAAATTCGCAGCGAATGGGTCACAAATTTTATCCTATCGAAAAGTTCTGAGCAAGCAATAAGAGAAGTTTTTTTAAAAAGCAATCGGTAACTTAAATGCTATGTTAATTACGTAACCATTTATTCACGAAAAGTGTAACATTGATCGCATGTGAAAACACCATTGGGAATGAAAATTAACCTTACAATCGCTCCTTTTTAAGCATTTCACGTTTCACTGGAGCGTTGCAACTGTTTTTCTTATTCACTTCATGGTAACTGATGAGCTAATTATTCAGGCAAGAAGGGTTTAAGGTTCAATCAAACTAAAGCTTACGAAATCCGTTCACCTGTAAATTCTACGCTTAACAGTTCGTTAACTTTCAGTCTACTTACAAGTTCAGCGGGTAAAAGAAAAGCACCACATATTTTCCTGCGAATAAAAAGGAACACGGTTAGTGAAATCAAAAGAAATAAAGCACATTTTTTCCAATAAAAAGCTGATCTCATACCTTTGAAGTCTGAGAGCTTTATATCTACAAACTCTCCATAATGGTTGACAGCCGTCCCAGAAAATGGCGGCGCCGGTTTTTGAATGAACGCCTTACTCATCGTAGAGCTGTAAAATAAACGAAAAAAAGTAGAATAAGAAAACTAAGTGGTTAATTTATCAGGTATTATTTGTTGACATACTTTGATGAACCGGTTCTTTCCTAGCAGGGCGTAATTCCACAATCGAACTGACTAGGAACCCACGTGAAAGCAATCTTTATTTTGGTAACCTAGAACTTAGCTCTCCTGACCGTCGCATGAAATCGAGACTACACGCTGTCTTTCGTTTCCTGGGTTGTAAAGATTACTTAATGAAAATACCATGAATGCACTGGCACGATCCAAATTAAGTACGAATTCACTTGACGGTATATGGAAAGATATATACATCAGTTTTTTACCCGGAGAGAATAAAAAACTAATAGATCTCTTATCAAATCATTGAATAATATTGAAGCAGCTGTACTAATGTACTTAATTTTTTAAGTATTGTAAAATTTCCATATGAAAACAGACATTGTTCTCCTTAAAAAGCGATTTCTATAGAGACTCATGAACTCAATCTATGTAGAAAGATAACATAAATCTCTCTAGGGGAAATAAAATGGGTGTGACTGATATTGCATTCATAATTTTCAGTTTAAATCAAATTAAAGATTTTGAATACCAAACAGTGTCTTGCAATTCACTAGTATGAACTCACACCCACAAAGGTATGTAATTTGGAATGAACTTGTTTATTTTCTCTCTGCAAGGAGAGATGTGGCCATGACCCAAAAAAGCAAAAATAGATGTAAATTTTCTCAGACTCTATTTTAAGCAAGACAGGTAAAAGAAACCCATGCAGCAATCTTATTACCTGTTGAATTTTCCTGAATTCCAGGTACTTTTAGGTGATATTAACCCATTAACTCCCAGACGAAGTTTGTAATTCTCCTTACTGTTAACCATACAATTTGTTAGTTAGTTATGTTAGTTCAGAGAATTTAGTATTAGATCATCCAATTATTCCTAAGTTGATATTTTTCTCAATTTTCATTGCTCACCTGTTTGATATTGTATTGATATTGTATTGATAATGTAAGGAGTAATTCTGTCTTCATCACTCATGGGAGTTAAAGGGTTAAGAGGTAACACAGGTGGTAAATTTTACTGGCTACTGTCTAAAAAGGAGAACACTGGTAGTATGGATAAAAACAAAACAAAACAAAACAAAACACAAGCAACTCTGTCTAAGTAACCCAAAGCATGCAGACAATTGAGAGCAAAACTACTGCATACATACAAAGGCAAATGAGCATCCTGCTTAACCTCTAATTTCCAAAAAAATTGCCACTATTTATTGCCTTGTGGTGAGGGATCAGTGGATTTTAGGGGGATTCTGTGGTTTTCAAGTAAGAACAAGAAGGGATCATTTATCGTTAAGAGAGAGGTGGGGGGGGTGGGGTATAAAGGGAGGGGACTTTGGAAAATTGACTTCAAATGACAAGGGATCATCAGTATACTGCAGAATACCATGACACAACCAAAATTCTCCAATCAGCCCCCCAACCATCCACTATTTATTGCCTTGTAGTGAGATGTCTGAGGATTTTGGGGGGATTCCATGGTTTTCAGGGGGGGAACAGTGGGGATCATCATCGCAGAGGAGGAGTATGAAGGGAGGGGACTTTAGAAAATTGACTTCAAATGAGAGGGGATCATCAGAATACTGCAGAACCCTGTGAGACAACCAAAATTCTCTGACTACACCCCCCCCCCGCCCCATCCCAGGCAGTAAATAACAATGACCAGTCCCTGATAAAATATTTCACAGCCCTTTCTTCTACCCTCCTCTCCACTGTGCAAAAAAAAAAAATTATAATAAACTAAATCATCATAACAAAATAATGAAGCTGTGTGTTTTTAAAAACTTTTCAGATAAAAATACATGCTCTACTTGAAAATCTCACTCTATAAAACAGTTTTTTCAACCACTACAACTCAAACACACAGAAACCGAAACGGGCGGATTCGCTAGGTCAAGGAAATTTTCATTTAAATCCTTGAGGAAGTACATTGCCTAAATTTAGCACTGACGTAACTCAAACAAACTCAAACACACCGCACCCGAGACGGGCGGATTCTGTTGACTAAACAACAAAAGTTGCCTATAAACCGTATCTCCTCAGTCAAAAAATTTCACTAACATTATAAAATAATTGCAGTTGTGCTCATAAAAAACCTCAGACACGTTACATAATAGCATGCGAAGCGCGAATAAGGTCTTAACTCGGTAATAATGCAGATCGAGTAAGCGAGTTCTGGCGAAAGAATGCATTCCAAATTGTTCATTCAGTGAGTTGTCAGTATTTAGGACTGTTTAACAGCTCTGGGTAAACAAAAAGCTGACCATATTAATCGACTGGATATAGAGAGCTAAAAGTTCTTTGAGTAAATAAACATTGCTACTTAAATCGTACATAAACACCCACTTACGGAAATAGAATATATAATTTTGATGTCTCCAATCGGAGTAAAAAGAAGGTAGATAATCTAATGCGTTGATACTTGAGAAACCCATCACTGCCTTCATGGCAAATCTGAACCTGAGGAAAAATGATTCGCTATATTTTGAATTACAAGAAGAAAGCGGACCTAAATACTATCATACCTTAATCGGTGTTGCAACGCGAAGGTACTTCGACACAATTCGTTTAAAGGAACCGTTCTCCGAGCCTGCTGCAGATTGATTTTGGGACTAAAAGAACGGAAAATCTGAGGAGAGATTCTTCTTGCAACGAGGGAAAATCCTGCAGCAGCCATTGGGAAGTGGAACAGTTGTCAAAAGAAAAGAAAACAGGTCACACAATCAACGATGCGGAAAAGGTTGAACTTTATACTTTGTTGAGCCCGCACTGCGTTAGCGACTTCCTTGTAAAAATAAATTTTGGAATGGACTTGCTGAAATAAGGAACTAGAAACCTCTTTAGAAGAAAGTAAAGACAGCGGTATTTTCTTCGAACGCATCGACCGAAATAAAAAAAAAACCGGTTAAAGAAAGTTTGATGGCTTGCGTTTTGGCGCTCGATGAAAATAATGGCGATGGAGCAGCGAAAAGTTAAAAGAGCATTAGAGCTTGAAGTCAAAACGCGCACAAAAGCTAGGAGTTTCAATTATTTTCTCCAAATGTTGTGAAATATTGTTTTGTATCAACTTCAAACATTCGTTCAACTCTAAGAGCTACGGATATAAATATCTATGTTTATCTGAGATGTTTCTTCTCTAATTTTGGCATAGGGCCAAGAGTACTCTTCACGAGAGAGTTCCGGGCGGTTTAAAAAGCCCTTAATCACCCCTTCCCCGGAGAAATCGGTGCTAAAATATCAAGTTATTCTGAGCACTGTCCCTTTCTTTTTAGAAGACCTAAACGATAAAATCCCTCGCAGCGATATTCTGACCGAGCGATAAGAGGTAAAGGATGGGGTGTGGTTTCCTTCCGTAGTACTTAATGTGGGTGATAAAACGCGTCATGGGAAAGGGTCTAAGGGTGCTCAATCATTCTGAATATAGATTTCCACTTTTCCATTTTTATATCTCACAATTTAAACACCTGTCGGGGAAGCCCCTTGGAAAATAGAGAGTGGTTGTAAGAAGTGGTTGATAATTTTACCATCCTATTTGAGGTTTCCTCCGTTTTAATACACTCACGCTCCGGGCGCAAACGTCAAATATCGAGCAGAATCTCACACCCCTTTTTTTCATGCGCTGGGAGCTTTTGTCGGCCCTGTATATGACTAATCATAAGTGTCCTTGTTTCTTGAAGTTAAGATTTCCCCTTTCCTAACGTCGTTATCTAATATTTTGCCATCGGCAAATGGAGAAATGGAAGCAAAAAGGAAACGAAGTAGGAGCACGATAAAGGAAACACTTTATTCTTACTGACTAAATCCAAATATCAGTAGCTTAAATATCTGCAGTGATGGCTGATCAATTTGAAATTTCATAAGAGGATAAAAAAAAGTGCTTTAAATAGATATCACATTCAAAAAGGGGCGTACATTTTTTCCGCCCAGTAAGGAGTAAATAGCTTATAATAACAGGGCAAAATGATCATTTCCACATAAATAGTAATTAGAAATTGATCAATAATAATTTATAATGGTATCCGTTCCTGTGATTGTATTTTTGTTCATCTTAATCGTCATAGCGAGCAAAATATTGTTGTTATCTCACAACAACAGACTAAACAATAAACTAGGTTAGCTGATAATTAAGAGCTAATCTCGTGCCCTGATCCTTTCGTGTAATTGTAACCGCCTAGCCGTGAAAAGTCTGGGCACTAGACTTATTAAGAGGTGCAATTCTTAGTTACTTTGCTAGGGGGTGGGGGGGGGGGGGGAAATTCCTATGAGTTATGCCACCCTATGATAAAAAGAAGAAAAACCAATGATATTATAACAACCTGGTATGCCCCATTAATGCCCACAAGTTGCTGATTTAGAACTTCCCTCTTCCCTGAAGGACCTTGTCAAAGAAAATTAATTATTATTATTTATAACTATTTACACACCGGCAAGCCTCCAAGTGCAAGGCAAACGTTATTAAAGCACCCACCCTCCCCACCCACTCACAACACACGCCCTTACTTGTCCCTATTAAGGCTTCTATATCCCGAGAAAAATCCGGTTCCATTTAATTTTGCCGACCCACAACGAATCATAATGCATTTTGGATTATTTCCCTTCAAAACAATTCAGAAATAACACCATTATGTCAAAAACCAGAAGGATGAGATTTTCAAATGAAAGTACTCGCTTAATTAGCTACATTATAAATAAACATTTCTTCAGGTCTACCCTAAATATGTTATTACGAAATAACTTACCTTTTGCTGTAATAAATCGCGTCGAATTGGTTGAATCCTTTATTATCAGTTAAATGAATCAATCATTTTTTCTAAGTCAATTTCTCGGTTAAGAATTCATCTCGTATTATTAGCTGGGAATGATCACCGAAAATATGTGACTCCTAGCTTCCTATTGCCGTTACATCCCGTTAAATTTAACATACAGTTTTCATTATTTTTACATAAACACTAGCCAAACAAAAATGACTTTTCTCGGACAGTTTTCAAACGAGTGTCGAGAGTATGCCGGGAAGGCATAGCAGGTTTTGCGCCACTCTCTAAACCAATCAGACATGACTTCGCCAGTTGCGTTTTCCCGCGCTTCAGGCCATTTGCAGACGTGCTTTTTTTTACCATGAGGTCTCATTGGTTCCTTATTATAGTCACCTTCTTCCTGATTGGCTTTTGCAAATATTTTGGTTGTGGTCTCGCGACACTCAACTGAAAAGTGATCCACTCGTGACGATACACGTTAACAACTTATTACCCTTATAATATAAGTTGACCAAAGATTCCGGTAGAAGAAAGCAAAGAAGACTAACTCGTCCCTAGTCGTCTCGTATTTTTCGCGGGAGACTAACATTAGCGCAGATCCCGCGCTTCCCTAAAGGTAGACAGACGACTAGGGACGAGTCAGCGAAGAAAATAAAGAAATTTCGTGCTAAATGGGTGATCATCATCTAAAATCTCGAGATCGTCGGTGAAGCCGTCTCCTGAAATAAAGAGAATTTGCATTACTAAGATGTTCCACAGAGTGTCTACTGTCTGTCTTTTCTTAAATAGGTCACGTCACTGGGCGGTTTGAGTTGATTTGTGTCGAACAAAATTACTTCAATCTGAATGAGGATACAAATATTTGTTCAGCAACATTGAAAACGTAGCGTGTGAGCAGGCCCTCAGTATCAGCCCAGCAGGGCGAGCGTTTCTTCTTGCACAGGAAGAATGGAGACGAGCCGATGAGAGGTATGCCAGAACAACATGCTAACCTCTCGCAGGCTAGCGTTGCTCAATACTTCAAACTTTCTCACGGGTGAAGAAACGCAAGTAATGATGGCCTGCCCACAGGCTATACAAAACGGAAACGAGCCACTAACAAGCCAACAGGGAACATGGACTAGGGATGGTGAAGACTGAAACAGTTTGGGAATCACGATCTTGAAAAGTCATAGATAATGTCTCTCTGAATTTATATACTGTGTTGAACGTGACAACGGTGATGTCACGCAACACCAGACCTAAATTAACAAGAAAGTGTATTTCATGACCTTCAAAAGGGTAGTAACTGAAAATGCGTAGAACGAAGGTTATACATCGGGAAGACAGAGGGAGAAAAATAGGAATGTCTGGTATCCACTAGTCTCTCTAATTATTAAAACAATAACGAAGCAAAACAAATTAAAACCCAACGATACAAGGGGGAGGAAGATAATTCATTTCTTCTTCCTTAGGTTCCAACCTTGTTTCCAGGGTCGCTCTTCTTCCTACGGTGGTGGGAAGAACAGAGACCATGGAGACAAGCCCCTCAATAGTCCCTGGTATACTTCAAGCTCGTTACCAGTAACTCAGAGTGATTACAAAACGAGAGAAAGTCGAAAGCAAAGAGATCTCTTAATTCTTCGACTAGCTATACTGGGTTTTAAACTAAACAAAAAAGACTGCTGTTTGCGTTCTTACAGAAACATTCTTCTCCTGGGCCGTTGCACAGCGTTTCTATTATGTTTCCACATAAAATCCCTTGTGTCAATGGAAGATACACAAGTGAAGATTGATCAGAAAAGAACTTATACTCCTGTATATTACATGAATACTATCACTAATAGCCGCACACTTCTCCCTTAGCTAGTTGTAAGAATTTAAAATGAAATCGAAGTCTTATGACAAGTGTTTTTCCAGGGAAATTGATGAATTAACCCTTCAACACCCATGATCTGGTTGTCAAATCTCCCATCTAGCTGCTAATCATTTCCTTGTATGTTAAATGCAAGACTTTGGTGTTGGATCAAGATTAAAAATTCTACCTGAGAAGTTTGATTAACCTCATTGATTGTTTGGTGGATCATGTATGGATATTATACGATCAATGTTGGAAGTTAAAGGGAAATTGAATTTAGCCTGGCTCTGATTGGTTTAGGAAAAGAGTGCGACATTTTCAGTCCAATCATAGCAAAGTAGAGTTCAATCGATGTAAACCGGGATCAATTTTGACACTCTATTCAACACTGCGGTAAAAGAAAACAAAAAGAATATCTTACCATAGGTGAAGACGTATTGCTGTTGGATCCTGAGCTGTTGATCTCAATGTTAACGAAGAGGGTTGCATAGCCTAGAGATTCGCCTTTGTTACCCAACAAATGAATATGCCTGTAACCTGGATTAAAAAATTATATGCGTCAAACTTTACAGGCAGATGTCGATCAAATAATCTTATCTATGCAGATGGATTGAAGGCTATCACGTCGATTCACGTGATGTTCTATTTTGAAAGTAGTTAAGAGGCAAGCAGAATATCGAGTGATTAACAATGATTCCGGCAAAGTGTTGCAAAATCTTTGAACAATTTTTTGTGTTGAAACGTGATCATTAAGGTAATTTTAAATTAGAAAAGACACAGAGAAACAGCGAGCGCTCGACTTGCAATGGGGGTGAAAGTTGCAGATACTTGAGAGAACTCTCAAACGGCTCATAAAGTATCAACCAAGGCGAGTGTTTTCAAATTTTTCGAGTTATTCCTCATACTGTGGCTTATAAAGCCAATAAGCAAATTGAAAGAGTGGTCAATGGCTTTGAGGCTAGAACACATATACCCGATAAGTCGCAGCGATAATAAAGAGAGCGATCATTCCATCTCACACAAATACCTGGTCTTAAACTGGTGAAGGGTATAGAGAACTGGCCAATAAAGTCGTCCGCAATTCCAACATCTTCGTCGAATACGGCAAATCGAATCATGGTGAGCTCCGGCATCAGCAAAACCTTTTCAAACTTCTCCTTCCACATTGGATTAAAACCTGCAAACACATAAAACAATCTTAATTGTTCTAAATAGTATCAATCGATCGAAAAAGTGATCTTAAGGGGGAGACTTGGGCTGAAAAGGTGGCGGACGGGGAGGCTGGGGGAGCGGAGAGGGAGGCTATACGTTGAAGAGCATGTTATTATGCTACTCAATCACCAGAGCGCACGAAGTATTTCTCATGTCAGCCTATTAGCGAATGCATCATAAAATCGTAATTCTGTAACAAAGTCGACAAAAATTGTTTATTACCATTGTCTTTGACGACTTTCGTCTTGAAAGACGCCGTGTCAGCTTGTATGCCATGAAAGTCGAGTTTTACATAAGGATCAATGATCTGTAAAGAAAAAAAAATATCTGATATCAGATGTTCTGTCGTCAAAATCCACCTGGACTCCATAGTCGTCATATTTTCTGGTGAGCAGGTGCTTAATATTTCGATCGAATGATGAAGCCGCCATATTGGATTGGGAAGATACGAGAAAGCCTGGAGCCGGTAAGATGGTGCACAAGGGAGGGGATAGTGGGAACACAAGGGAGGGGATAGTGGGAACAAAGGGCGAACGATAATGACAGGCAAAAAGGAGTCTAAGCGTACCGCTGCTGTCTGGGCCTAAAAACGTCTGTATCTAACGTAGTTATAAAACAGCACCCCAGTTCCAGTAGCAAAAGAATCGTAAGCAGTTGAGACAACAACCTCTAAACTTGGACAGTATAACCACAGGCACTTGTCCACTTCAAACATACCTCTCCTTTTTCTCCTTCTTTAGCTGGCTTTGGAAGTTGTTGACCAGAAATGACCTGGAAAAATACACATAAACAAGAATACAGTCTTCCAAACTTTCTCAAGATTAATTAATGAAAACCCTGAGGTAAATAGCTGTAAAGGACGAAAGGCAATACTGAGTAATTACTGAAAATTACAAAAATCGCGAACGGTTTTGCTTTACAATTGATTGGTTGAGAAGGTGGCTCGAAATTTCTGGACCGATCACAGAGCGAAATAAAAGAAACCCATTGTAATTCCAGATTACTTTGGACACTTAGCTGAAAACTGATTAAAGCTGCCGCCTAAAATCATAACGGTGCAGTTTAGAAATGTAAGAGACTACATTACCGTTATGGATAGTGTAACCTTCTCCACACCGGGAATTTCTGTCTTAGTGAGAGGATTCAACTTTAATGAGGCTAAAAAAAAACAGGAGAAAGGTTTTAGAAATATATTATGGTCGAGGATGTCATAGAAAAAACTACTTTGACAGACTGACGTAGAAAGCAAAAGTAGTGTTGTGAACTGATCACAACAATTATTTTGTATTTTCCTCACAAGTGTACACCAGAGGGGCACTGGGGACAGGGTAGACCCGAAGGCGGGAAAACGCGGGTAACCACGTTGCGATCAGTTTTAGCTGTACATTTGATTGGTTGAGAAGGTGGCACGGAATTTCAGGACCAATCACAGAACAATTATTTAAAATTTACCTTACATATGTACTCCAAACGGGCACTGAGGACGGGGTAGACTCAGGAAAACAAAAAGGAGAAAAGCAGAGCTGTTTGGGGGCACAAAGCAAAGGTTCCTCACATGTCAATGAAAGTTTCGCATAACATGTAAAACTAGGGAGACAGGGATTTCTTTCATCCCTCAAGCTAAGGTTTACTTGCCTGCTGTTTCAAAAGAACCTCCACTCAATGCAATCGTGAGGAAAGTGTGCTTTAGCAGAGGGTTGAAGGAAGAACTCAAGGTTACCGCGTGAAAGCTCCTGAAGTTATTGAAGGTTCTAAATAAACTTGGAAATACTTACAGTCTCGTAGAACTTTAGGCTTCAGAATGTAGCCAGCTCGTCCATTTGTTCTAAATTTTCCTTGGTTCAAGTGCATGGGTTCAGAATCCGTTTGGTAGTTTAAGGCAACTGTTGTCAAATAGGAAGAATTAAAGTAAACTCTCTGGTGTAATTCAAAGCAGGTAGGTTAAAGAAGCTGCTGTGCTGCGTCGGCATGCGAATCAAATTTTCAGCTGCTTCTCAATTTAAAATTGAAAAAGGTAGTTAAATAACCGAGTCTCGTCGGATTTCAACGCTACCCACCCACCCTACCCCTACAACCATGGGATACTATTGATTTAAAAACAACTTCTCAGAGCTAAAACTGTAGGAAATATACGGCAAAGAGTGCGGGTAATTTATTATTAGATCTCGGAAAAGGGAGGGTTAACATACCTATTTGACATCCTGCGTTCCAGGCCTGTTGAGGGTTGTAGTTACTAGAGTCCACTCTCCCTCCGGCCGGGTAAATTCTGCTGAGCTGTCTCTTGTTGTATTCAACAAACTCAGCTCCTTGAGAGTTCACCAAGTTGACCATTTTGGATTCCACAAAAGAGGACATTTGGTGAAACTTGCCTGTTTGAAAAAGCAGAGAGAAGAAGGAAGATGTTATTCATAAGTTATGAAAGTCGGGCAAGGAAAAATCCACGTACAAGTGAAGAAATGAACAAGTAAAAGAAATTTCAGAAAGAGCTTGAAAAACTTCAGGCTGTGACAGGATTCGAACCCATGCCTCCTACGCTTTTCACTTCCTTTCATTGTCAATGTTTCCCCATGTTGTGAAAATTCCCACACTTTTCAGAAGAAACAAGTTAACCGATCCTCCCTACCAGAAGGAAGGTAATCTGATTGGCCGTGATACGAGTGTCGCAAGACTAAAACTAAAGTTGTCACGACGACCAATCAGACGAAGTGAAAGAATTTAAAGAACCAATGAGAACTCCAACCAAAACCAAGCAAAATACCAAAAGCGCGGGAAAACGCGGGTGACCAATTCGTGTTTGTTTTCAGTTTTGCATCTGATTGGTTGAAAGAGAGTGGTGCGAGTTTTCTGGACCAATCACGGAACGAAGTAAAACAAAACCCGGTGCAATCTCAGATTATTTTCGACACTCATTGAAAATGGCTCTAAAATGCTTACTATTTTGTTTGGCGTGTTCAAAACCCTTGAATCCCACACTGGACACGTAGTTTACGCAGCGGGAGAGCTCTTTGGCCAGCTTCTGTTTCTTCTTTTTTTTGCCGCTCTTTTCATCCTGTGGAAAAAAGTTATCAATAAGGTCTAACACAATTCTCCTCCGTAAGTTACATCGAAAACGAGTAACCTTGCAAAACTGGAATTCCTAAGGGTTGATGCTTTTAAACATGTAACGATTGCATCTGTAAAACCAGCAACATTGTGAGTAAAGCGCAAGTTGAGCAACAAAACCTTAAAATATACCCCTTTAATCAAGAAAAAATAAAGAAACAAAGAGAAAGCACTCCGAGAAATCCTGTATTGTTGGTGAATATTTTGACGCCTATCATTGACTATTATCCAATTTCTCCCTACGACATATTCCCCGAATCACACATAAGGTCATGAGAATAAAGGAAATGATCACCAACTAAAGAAAATTTTGATTGTTTAAAGACAAATTCTCCTTGTCAGCTCCTCAAGAAATGTACGGAGAACAGTATGGAGAATATGCATACTGATGTTAGGGTGTAAAGGGTTGACGTTTTCAGCTGGAAAAAGGATATTTAATCAAACAGATCATCAAGTACTTGTTCGGAAATAGAATTCTGTTGTTGTGATAGGCACTGCGCGTTTTACACTTTTTTTCTCTCACTGTTCCAACAGTGGAGGTAATTATACTTCACCACTGCCAATCAAGGTTATTTCACGAACATATCGAGATTCTTAGAAAATTTAAGTAACAGAGATTTCCTTTTGTTCTCGTAAACTTGTTGGAGTCGGAATTGGGCAATCATGGTCTAGCGGTCCTAGAGGGGGGCTGAATTTATCTGTTCCTACTCACAAAACCTAAAAATGATTCCATAAGGTCGCTGATCTCTCTCGTGAAGCGGGCAGGAGAATACATAAACATGTAAACAAGGAAACCTTCTTCATCCGAATCAAAATACGATAGCTGACGTTAAGAGTGCAAAACTAGGTTTAAATTTGTTCTAGAATTAACAATATTCCGCTGACACTGTGCATTTTCTTTTAAAATGTCTATATAATTAATTGGTTCACTGTACTTTGTTAGTGTTAGAGCTCCAGACAAATTACTCTGCATGTGTCAACATATCATTTTCAGTTTACAGGATGTTACGACGTATTGAAGCTATTTTACGCCTGGCAAAACTTAACTAGACTTTCCGGCTGACATGCAGTTTACAATTCAAAGACTTCATGCAGTTAAAATTATCGTCTGAATCTAAAGGCTGTTGAGATCTGCGAGGCTTATTTATTTATAACTGGATCAATTATATTGTAATTCAGGAACAGAATTAATAACGTTAAAGAGGAGAAAAAATCCTAGCTTTCTTTACTTTAAGCTGTAGAGGTTAATTATTCTTCGCGATGAAGTTATAAGATGTCAGTATTAGAAAAAATTTACCATGAAATCATATGCTTTAGTAGCATGTTCCAGGCGCTCAGTGAGTCAAACACAGCGAAACAGTTAAGGGTGAGATAGCAATGAAAGATTGAAAACGAGAGAGATTTGGGTCGGGTAGCACAATCCATTACGCAACCCGACCCAGACCTCCCTGGTTTTTTCACTCTTCTACTTCAATCGCGTCGTGTTCTTCCGCGCTTCGTTTTATTAACTGAACGCCTGAAAGAGGCTAATGCTTGAAAGTAACCTACATCATTTTTATTTACCTTGATACTTTCAACAGATTCATCAATTTCTCTTTCTTTAGCCACTCTCCTTTGAGTTCAATTTAAAGTTTTACAAAGCTAGAGCATTCTTGCAGTGACAAAACATAATATAAGCGCTTTGATTTAAAATTTAAAATTTTCCTTAACTATAGGCGATGGTAATCTACTCTAACAAGTAAATCTAAGCGCACCTCTTGTAGTATGGCGCGGTTTTAGATTTTCTCCGTAATTTTTCAAAGATTTCAGGGCATTTATTGCAACTGTCACTGTGAAAAGAACGCTCTAACTTGAACTTAACGAAGTTTATCGTTATCAGCATGAAATTTAAGCGTTTACTTACATCTGTTTCGTCTTTAAATTTACCAGCGCTGCGTACCACTTTACCAACGGAACGAAAAGATCTACGAATGCTTTCCTGGTAAATACATGGAACAAAGAACGATAAACTGGAGATTTAATTAAAACTATTTAAAAGTATATTTATGACTTTAGTCAGAGAAGGTTATGTCTAAAACTTAAGGATGCCTGTCAAAGATTTACTAAGAAAATTTTCTCCTAATTCTTTCAAGAATCAATCAATACCAATCAATTCATCAAAACCATACCTGCCTCAAAGTTATTTCGGAAAATGTTTTTAACCTTAAAATATCAAACCTTTAATTATTAAAATATTTAACACATAATTCCTTTAGAAAGATAAAAAAAAACATTTGGGGAAACCTGGACAAAAGGGGAACTCAGGGAAGGGAGGGTAACTCACTAATGGAGCAATATCCTAACATTCTACATCAATAGAAACTCAACTGAAATTTGGGGCAACCAAGAAAACAGGGGGAACTGGGGGAGGGGTGGGTAACCTACTAAAAGAGCAGCATCTTATCCGTACTGCCTCATCAGGTAAGAAAATTACTAATGACACTCTGGTAGTAAAAGGGGTGACTCTGTGTTCGTAAATATAAGTATTACTTTTAAACTGTTGGTTTTAAGTTTATGAAAAATTATTTTTTAACAGACGTCTTTCAATGCGAGTACTAGGCGTTCTTTCGGTCCTTTTACGTCGATTGCTTAAATAAATAATAATAATAATAAAATAATAATTAGGTACCTTTTTTGGTTTCTTTTGCTTCTTTTTAACCGGAGGAGAAGTACTGGTGGTAGAGGGTCCTTCTGCGCCTGCACTCGAACCAGCTTCCGCGCCCGCATTTTCTTTTGCCATTGCAACCGAAGCTGCCTCTTGATCAATATCAGCTGCTTCGTCTTCATCTGTGACGTCACCTTCGTCGTCACCATCTTTCTCTTGCTCTGGTTTTAATTTCTTACCCTGCAAGAAAAAGCGATTTCGAAAAATTTTAATCCGCCGTATATTACGTAAATGAAGAGGATAGTGCGAACCACAAATAAAACATTCTCCTTCTCATTTTGCAATATAGGCTAAGCGGTAAGCATGCAATATTACAGCGGAAGTAACTTATTTCGTGGACACTTAATTTTTTGACGTAAAACAGCTTGTCACAATATATTTAATACCATTGTACTAAACAACACGCCGGTGCGCCAATACCTTGATGAGAATTTTGTTCTTGAAGAACTCTGGAGATGGAAAAGTATCGAATTCCTTATCTACGGGAATTTTGTACAGTGTATCTAGTTATCAAATTAGTCAAGGAATTTAACAGTCTCTTATCTTTTTGAACCATCACATTAATGTAATGTCTTAAAGCAACACAGCGAGTCTATCTCAGATTCCATGTTGCCGTGCGTAGTTCAGAGCACAGATGACGTCAAAAGGTGGTAAGAACCAATAAGGTGCAGCCAAGTGTAACACTGATGTTCTTCGCACATTTGGCTACTTCTGTGATCTATTACTGAGCAGACCCGCGCGCGACAACATGAAATCTATTTGTTTTACATGATAATAAGATAAATGCAGTTTTAAGGTAATTCAATGCAGATGAGGATTAATTCAGTGCAAAGAAGTAACAAACCAGACTGAATCATTCCTTGAACTTTTTTGTGCCTTAAGGATGTGAAAATATCATTGTAAATTATTGTTTTGATCGTACGCGGTTGTTTTGACCGAACGCAAAATGTCACTTGTAGGGTTTGAATAAATTATTTTGGCACTTGATGCGCGCGCTTTGCTTCTGTATAATTATGATAAGCTATCTCGTATTTTTTCATGTATATTATTAATACGTAATCACATGATTTTCCTCGTACAATTTGGAATAAATGAGCACTAGTGAATTTTTTCAAATAGTCTTTGAAAAAATTTACTCGTGCCTATTTATTCCAAATTGTACTCGAAATCATGTAATTACCAATACTGAAAAAGCAAATTGTTGTTAACGGTGACGTCATCTCTGCGTATGTCCTCCGATAGATCTTAAGAACCCATTGAAATGTGTGTGGGATGCAGCTTATCACATAAATTACAATATATAGTAATTTCCTGGTTTATTTTAAAACTCGTTTCGGCGTTCATACGATCACGCAACAAATTCGCAGGCAAGTTTTTTCCCCTCAGATTTTGTATTTCATGTTTTTACACCTGACACTGAAGTAGGAAAGATGAACCCCGATGATATTGTTACTGTCATCAAAATAACTTGATCGAACAAATTTAAAGATACCTCCACACCTTCCTTCGACTATGTTACTAATTTTCTTTCGATATGCTTTCGTTCTTCCCTTTACTTACTCATTCGTTCGTGATTCTTCAGTTCGTTACTTTCCCTGTTTGTTCTTTCCGTTATTTTTCCCTCAAATCACGCGCCCGATTTACAACGTAAGTTTCTCTTTAAACATACACCCCTTTTTTAGCAACATGCTGCTTTAAATTCTAGTAATATTTTTATAACAACTCATTCAAAGGATACCGCCAAGTATTTCTTCGAGTATTTCAGCCATTTTCTTTTGATTTGAAAGATTACAATGGTTTTCCAAGGAGAGGATAACCGGATATCTATAAACAGGAGAAAGAAAGAATCATTGCTAAATTTCTAATTACTGGTCGAGGTAATTTAAGTCAGAATATGAACTGAGTGGCTCATCTGACCGGAGCTCATTCCGGTTTCTGTACAATGAAGCAACGAGGTGTTGCTACTCCTCCCTGGATAGGATAATAGTTTATCGTCAGGCCTCTCTGACATTTTGAAGGGTCATCAGACACAGTCAGAGTGAAGTGTGTTGCCCAAGAACGCAACACAGAGAACTGACTGGCCTCTAATTTCTCCTTACAGTAGAGGTCATGAGAATAAAGAAGATGATCACCAATTTAAGGAGGTTCTGATTGTTACACAAATTCTCCTTTTCAGTACCATTGGAAATGTACAGAGAGCACTGTGAAGAATATGAATACGACTATTTGGGCGTAAAGGGCTAAAATCAGCAAGCTCAATCTTGAGTCTCATACATGGACTGCTGCATTACATCACTGTACTTCTTCCGGGAGACTAAGACCTCACTCGTTTGTAACAGAAAAAAAATTACTTACTCCGAAACCTCGAACGCATATCTATTAACAGCTTCGATGACATCCTTGAAGAGAATCTTGGAGGTGAGCGTATGACCATGATAAACAATAGGTTCTCCATTATCGCCATCCCAACAGTCCAACTCTACACAACGACAACCTTTCTTCAGAGCATTGATATAAGCATCCACACTGGACTGACCACGGAGCTGATCTTGTAGAAGATAAGTGTTGTGGGACGAGGCAATGTAGTAATGAGTGAGTGGGTGAGTCATGTCTTGGTAAATTTTGTCATGGGCGGGGTCGAAAATGTCCCCCTCTGGAGATTTGAGGTAGCTCGTCAACCCTGGCAGATTGAGAAATATCTACTGGTGACACCTTTCTTAGATTGCGAGCAGACCCTAATTATCAGCGCTGCAGGAAACGCGTTTCTCCGCTCGCGGGAAGACATGACACGAGGCGTTTTATAGTTCTAGTTTTCCACGTGTCTCTCGCCCGCTGGTGTAGCTCAAGGCTCTATACTTTCCCACGAGCGAAAAAACGATCGTGCAGAAGTAACGCTCATGCCGAGGAACCGCTCGTGCCGAAGAAACGCTCGTGCCGAAGAACTAATAACGAGAGCCCGAATGCAGGCAATATCTTTCTCGATTTCTTAACCGAGCTCAAAATTTATAGTCTTTCTTTTTCTTCTATTTACGAACATAACGATTTCGACATTACTGGTTGTAGCATTATGCAGAACGCGTCTCACATACGAATCTTGTAAAGGCGTGGCTCATCATTGATTTCTTGGTGCCTCAGTGGACTGAGGTTCGATTCCATTTAAAGATTCAAAATTTTTTTCTTTCTTCCACGCTCGTGACAAGACGAAGAAACATCTCTCTCGTACGAGAAGAGTTGCCGCAATTTTACTTAAACAATTTGAACAGCATTTAGAGCAAACACTGACCGTCAATTCCTAATTCATGCCTCCTCTTCCCCGTCTCTGTTGGTTCATGGGTCAAAATCATATCCAAGCAGTATTCTCTGCTGGCGTTAGGCATCTGAAAAAAGGAAGTAAAACGCCTTTGTTTCAAACTGATGCAGATTGTCTGTTATGTGCAATCGGATTCGCTGACTGACTAACTAGCGATAGATTGAGTGAGTGACTGACCTAAAACTGACTGACATATCGATTGACTTAGTCACTGACAATTGACTGACGTGACTTAGACTGACTGATTGAATTGAAGCCAATTATATGCTTGAGTGAATTGACTTGTTGACTGACACCTGTCTGACGGGTAAACTGACTTATTAAAATTGGCTAACTGATCAATTAAAAACTCACTAACTGACTGATCGATTGAGGGAAGAAACGAGGAACCGACTGACGAACTGACGGACTGACTGACTGACTGACTGACCGATCGACCGACCGACCGACCGACCGACCGACCGACCAACCGACCGACCGACCGACCGACCGACCGACCGACCGACCGACCGACCGACTGACTGACTGACTGACTGACTGACTGACTGACCGACTGACTGAAGAACGGACTGACTAACTGACTGACAGACTGACTGACGGACGGACAGATTGACTGACTGAGGACAGACGGACGGACTGGCTGACTGGCTGACTGGCTGACTGGCTGACTGATGGACTGACTGACTGACGGACTGACGGACTGACGGACTGACGGACTGATTATTGACTATCACCACAAACACTGGCTTAAAGAGAGTAACAGCATCAAACCAACACCTAAACATACTGATTACCTTATCGACCGATGGATAAATTTATAACTAGCGATCAAATCTTACCCCTTGTACATTTGTCACAAAATAATGGAAATCATCTTCATTCATGTGTGCTCCATTGGATGAATTCTGCTTCATGAGATCGACAATTTCCTTTCTTGTAGATATTGTCTTGAAGAATGTGGCAAATTCGTCTTTATTAAGCGCTGCATCGCCATCTGTGTTCACTTCCTAATAAAATAGATGGTAAAAAAAGTGAAGAGTTGCTTTAAAATTTCCAAAGTTGTTGTGCTTCGTTTAAGGCCTGCAACAAATTTTCTTGCGAATTGAGCAGAGTTATTCTTCTTTCTTTTCCTCACTTCTTGGCTGGAACAACGTATTGGTATTGCAAAGAAAAAATTACTTAATCACCATTCGAAAGGGTTAAAATGAATTGCATATATTATAGAGGTGTTTGATCGAAATAATTCATGTGATGTGGAAACCGGAATAGCGTCCTGTACAGTTTTCAATCGGTTTTGCACTTTTCATTCGCAAACTAAGTTTTCTTTCCAAGTTCTTTGTTAATCTGGACTTACTAAGAAGTAGACGATGTAAATATGCTCACCTTAAATTTCTTTTTCACTTGGCTTGGACTCATGCTGACGTTCAAAGCTTCGACAAGTCTCTGGACTTCCTTTAAACCTAATGAGCCATCTTTGTTCTTGTCAAATTTCTCAAAGGCTTCCACGAGCCATGTGAATATTTGTTAAAGAAAATACTCATCCGTTGCTTCCAAAACTACCCTGGAAAAATCAAACTATCAAACTGAATAGTGGCACAAAAGTAATTAATTGTATGTATATCAATCTTGAACCTTTCCTACGCTTTTCATTTGAGTATCGTAACACTAAAACCAAAGTAATCACGACAGCCAATCAGAAGACGCATAAAAACGTACTCCAAAGAAACAATGAGAATTCATAGGAACTATGTGAAAACAAAATCAAGCGCGGGAAATACAGAGACAAAGTATTCACAACAGCCAATCAGAAGAGGCGTCAATACGTACTCCAAAGAGCCAATAGGAATTCAAAGTAACTACATGTAAACGAGATTAAGCGCAGGAAAAATACGCGAGACAAAGTCACGATTTGAATAATAGAGCGCTTTTCGATTGAGTTTGGTACAACCAAAACCGAAGTTATCACAACGGCCAATCAGATAAAAGGAAAGAACCTTAAAGAGCCAATGAGATCTCAAAGTAAAACTAACCAAACTGCCTAAAGCGCGGGAAAACGCGGGTGATTAAGTCGTGATTGGTTTGGTTTTGCATTTGATTGGTTGAGAGAGTAGCACGAGTTTTCTAGAGCGAAGAAGTGCAAAACCAATGCAATCTCGCATTACTTTTGATCCTCGATTGAAAATTGCCCTACTCACATCTGATCTGTTGAGTGGATAGCACGAGTATTTTAGACCAATCACAGGATGATTGAAAGCAACTTAATGGCAAGATGAGAATTCCAGATGATTTTCAATATTTAATAAAAGTGTGAAAGGATATTGATCGCGATTTTCCTTGTCCTCCTTCTCGAGATTACCTGAAGAACGAAGACAAAAAACAAACAGATAACTGAACAATCCAGTTAAAAAAAAACATAATTGGTTTGAGCGAAAGTGCATGAGTAGTCACCGATTTCTTTGTCAAAGGAGTAGAATGTTGAATCTCATAATTGACTTTATAACGTCAAGTAACACTTTACAGCCTTACATCAGTTTGCATATTCTCCATACTGTTCCCTATACATTTACTATGGTACTGACAAGGAGAATTTTCAATAATCATGAGCATCTTTAATTGGTGACCATTTCCTTTATTCTCGTGACCTTAATGTGTATTCAGGGGCGATTTTGTGAGGAGAAATTAGATGCTGGTCACTCTTAGGGATCAAGGGATTAACAGATCTAAGATCTGTAAAAAATTTCAGGTTGTCCACACGTTATCTGATACCCAAGAACGTTTTGCAATAGCTTGTTGTAAACTCAAATTAAGAGCAATCACAAGGGCCAATCAGATTATGAGAAAATATCACATGGCGCCAATGAGAACTCAAAGTGACAAAGCATGGGAAAATATGAGTGAGCATGTTGTGATTGGTTTGGCTTTACATCTGATTGGTTAAGAGAGTGGTGCAAGATTTCTGGACTAATCACAGAAAGCAGTAAAGCAAAGTAAAAGCAATACGGGATCCCTCTCTACCCTAAATTATAAATTTTGCCTGTCCCAGATGTTTAGTTAGTAAATGGGAGCGAATAGTGAATGGCCGATAGTAGCGGAAGTCCAAAAACAAGAGAGGACTGGGTCGGGTGCATAACATTCTCAATGCTACCTGACCCCAAGCCTCCCTCGGTTTTCCACTCCTCCACAACCATTGCACAGTTTACTAGCACCCTTCATTTTTAATAACTGAATGTCTGGAACAAGCTGATAAAAATTGTTTTGAGGCAGAATGTTACCTCTGTTGATAATGAGCTTTTGAAGTCCTCTTATCCAAAAGTCTGCCACTTCCCTTGACTCTGCCACCACATTGAGAGCTGCACTACCCCCATTGTTGCCAAACTTAATGGAAATACAGTTCTCGAGGGAGTGCTTTTTCAAAAATCCTTGGAAGAGGTCCTTGACACTGTCTCCAAATTGTATTTCTGTCATTTTGTCAATCTTAACTAAGATATAACAGAAAACCAAAGATGAATAAAATAAAATATTCAAGCTCTCTGAGTTTCATTTCAGGCATTGAGCCCAAAAATGTCACAACCATACAAGGCATTGGAAGGTCTTTCAAACCTTCATGGTGCATCAAAGGAAATAAGCAAAAGAAAGGAGAGGGGGGCATGGTTGATGGCACCTGTGACCCCCCTGTCCTTGCCCACACCTTGCTAAGAAAAAAAGGTATTAAATAATGATAACAAAAGATGAGTCTCTATAAACACAACTAATGCAGGAACCCTCCTCCCCACCCCCCTCACTTGGTCGAGAACAAGTGATGAT